AGGGGAAAACGGTGGGGATTTTACGAATAATTTTCCGCGCAACTTTTTAAGTGCTGACGAGGGCAAGAAAATTCGTAGCTTAACGACCGGTTTCGCCGCGGCAGCTTAATTAATGGGACACAGGAAAAAGCCGCGACTGCGTAACAGCGGCCCCCACGCGTGGCCCGGCGGCGCATGTAGGACGAGACGAAATCGAAATGTGAAAATAAGCCGCAACTTTAATTAGGCAAAAGCAACGAAACGCATGCTCTCTTTCCGCTGTGTCTCTGTCTTTCATTTTCTCTCGCCTCATTTCACTCTCCTTCGCTCGCTCTCACCTCTTAACGCGCTCTCTCTCTCTCTCTCTCTCTCTCTCTCTCTCTCTCTCTCTCTCTCTCTCACACACAAACATACACGCAAACAAACAAATACACGCACGCACGCACGCTTACACACACTATCTTTTTCTGAAATAAGCGAGGTGTTAACACGAATCGGCGGTCAGGTTACGTTCGACAACCTGGCGGTGCTCGATCCATCCGACCTCAGCTACCACCACTGACGTCATTAAATCTCACTTACTTTCGCTCCCCCCCCTCTCTCTCTCTCTCTCTATGAGTCCCTCAGCTTCCGCGGGATTTTTGTATTTTGAGTGACAATAAGCAAGCGCGGAAAAAGCGGACTGCAATCAGCGGCACGTCTCGTTTGCACGTGAGCGCCAAAATAGCTTCGGCTGTTTATACAGCTTAGCACCCTTATTTTTCGGTGCATGAGTACACCCGCAAATGATGTTATTTCTGTCGCATGACCGTCGAGATATTTGTTTCTTGTATAAACCAGAAAGGCCCCCATATTTTTGTAAGCCGGCGACACGCGTTGTGATTTCCCGCAGATTTCATACGACTAAATTTCGCATCAGCTCTCATAGTCATCGCTTCGCTAATCAGACCTAATCGTCAATCCTCTGAGCCTTGGCGATGCGGATCGGCCTTAAACTGACCGACCAGTTAGCACGAGCGCAAATGTTACTCCGTTAAGGTTAACCGTACTCGTGGCCAGGCAACCAGCTAGGCAGACATTCTCTAGCTACGTTCGTGCTGCTAGTTCTTCGGCTGTACTGGTAGGAGTAGTAGTAGTAGTACAGGCGGGCGCTATGCGGATGGATCTATGGCCGACTTTCGCTCGCGAAGTTTGCAAGCGCGCTAAACCTTAGACGGCTCGCCGCCGCGCCTGCCGAGCCACAGCAGTTTTAATCTGCCAGAAGATCGCTTTCCCGAACTATGCGAACGCCGGCGACTTTCGTGCGCTCGGCGTTTTGTTTCAGTTCTCGCATGACCGCTCCAACGGTAAACACTGAAATCCGAAAAGAGATATACGGTGTACGCGGTACGCCAGTACTTCTCGCTTTCATCTGCAAATTTCTGCGAAGATCATGTTCCGACTAAAATATTCATAGATAATATATATATATATATATATATATATATATAGATAGATAGATAGATAGATAGATAGATAGATAGATAGATAGATAGATAGATAGATAGATAGATAGATAGATAGATAGATAGATAGATAGATAGATAGATAGATATATCAACGGAGAGCGTGCGCGCGCGCGTGTAATCGTAAGTCATGTTTCGAACGTAGGAACATGCTCTGTATGCCTATATAATCTATACTAATTAAAATTTGTTTATAAATTAGTCTGTCATGCGGGCGAATCGATTATGGTGATCGATGATGACACAATATCTACTATCATTACGATGACGACAGATGGCGTGGGATCCGTTAACATTGCGACGGCTGTAAATTCTGTAAGACTACCTGCAGTTTTATACCCTATATGCTAATTTACACTATATGCGAGGTAGCAGGTGCGAACTTATCGATTAGCGATGAGCGATTGCGGAGGACCCATTCCTCTTAAACGCTAGCCTATAGATGAAGTTTGATGAACCCCTGCTTTTATGAAGACGGCGAATAATTGAATCACACGGCATGAGATGAGCGAACACTGTACGTATGGGCGGAACCGACTTTATAACGAATAGATGCGATTGTAAGGTCGTGACGTGTGGCACGAGTCTCCGGCTGTAACATATTAGAAAATATAAATATACTTTTTTCGTATATAAGATATAGACATGAGGTTCTCACAGTGCGCGGTTTGCAACCGGACCTTGAGAATAAAGGTAAAGGTAAGAAATAGGAACGTATACATTGACGGCAGTTCTGTCACGATTGCAACTGAAACCTAGACCCCCGAGTGGCACAAGGGGGTGGGGAGCACGCTAAGGCACTTTGGTATTACCACCAGATGTGTTTTTAGTTTAGCAGCGCGTCATAGCCAATGATTATTATAGAACGTTAAAAGACGATTGTCACGTGTGTGAGTCGCAAATAATCGCGCACGGACGCGTAGCTCTCGATAATATATGCACTACAAGTGACATATAACCAATGACGGCACAATAAACGCAATTATCTAAATATCATCACAAAAACTCACCTGCCAAGCCACCGTGGTTGACAAGATAATTTTGTGACACATAAAATTATACACGATTCGTTACTACTATGGCCTTGAACACTAACGATATTTAACTTATAGATTATTAAGCATTGCCTATGACCATTGCACATTGAATGAAGTATTATATACATAAACGGTTATCAGATGGAACGATGCGTATAATATAAGCTATAACATAGGATTATGAACGAGACTATATAAGGTACTATATATATATGCGCTAACAGTTTGTCTACGCTATACATTTGGTTATTGATTATATACAGCGAAAGGTTAGATATTACTTATATCACTAACATAATGATTGAAGTGTTAACCTGTTTAACGCAGTTGACGCGCGGAACCTTCATGACTCATTACCCTATTTTAAACAGTTACCAGCCGCCACTGCAATAAGAGCTTTATCACATGTTACTATTAGGACGCAGTTGATTGCTATAAACATGATATACGTATACATGTTAAATCCTTCCCGCTTTCACGTCGGAATTTATTCAGTAATGATACTAAATACCTATAGTATTTTGATGTCGTTTAAGCGGTCTCCGTTACAACCTGCATCCGTAACAACTTCGACTATTGCACGACCCTAGACATTCCGAGAGTTATCGAGAGCTTTCGAGAGAGCCGATATTCTCCGAGGTCACGGGTATTTGCTAAGGCACCTTAACAATTATTAAAGTATACTGACGGACATGGATATATCTTAAGAAATTCCTTCAGAGTACCTTCGGCGTGCAGTTAGTTTTACTACGCATGAATCATGCTCACTCACTTACATCTCGACCGATTCCTCAGAATAATTTTCAGAGTTAACCTTTTTCATGAGGTCGTTTACTAAAGTTTTAACGTGCGCACTGCATCTATTGCATCTTTTACGACGCATTTTGAATTACTTGTTTTATATTACCTACTGCCAAATGCATGGAGAAATCTCGAACATCCAGGAGTAAGGAATATCTAACAAGTTGACGCTAAGCCGCTAGCGTCAGAGTATGTAAAACAACGTAACATAGTTTACATAATAAATTATACATTCTTCGAAAGTACTCTTTTGCGATACCTATACAGGGGAAGGGGGACATGAACGTAATGGTACGCAATGTTCGCTATGTGAGCAAGAGGGAAAGCAGTCCTATGTCAACTATTACCACCACTAACACAACGCCCCCTCCCTCCCCCCTCTCTCTTTCTACACCTTCCTGTCTCTCACTCTCCCTCTTCCTCTCTACGGTATAGCGGAGAAGTAAACGTTTTCTGTGCGTACGTGAAACACAGCGCGATTTCCTCGCCTTTAACCTTCAACCGTCTCGTTCTCCCTACCGTCTCCGCCTTCTCTCTCTCTCTCCAACTGGAGACTTCACCACCCGATGTCGTCTTACTGCATGCGTTCCTGTATGCCTGTCGTCTGATACCCGGGAAGCGTCGGTGCGCCAGCAGGGATGGCCGACGGGATGGTGTAGGCTCCGGCGTATCCCGGAGCGACGTAGCCGGCCGCAGAGCTGTAGGGGTCATACCGGTCGTAGGTGTTGGCGAAGTGGCTGGCGTAGGCCGTCGCGTAGTCGTAGTATTGGCTGGCGGCGGCGGCGGGCGACAGCTGTCCGGCGTGCGGGCCCTGTATGAGCATGCTCGGACCCTGCATGTACTGCGGCGGGTAGACGTACTGCGCCTGCATCCTACAATAGAAGCAGACAAGAGAGACTCATCGATATGTCCGAAAAATTCCGCTGATCACTAGAGAATATATATGATGTGTGTGTGCGTGTGCGTGTGCGTGTGCGTGTGCGTGTGCGTGTGCGTGTGCGTGTGCGTGTGTGTGTGTGCACGCGCGCGCGCGTGTGTGCGTGTGTGCGTGCGTACGTGTGTGTGGGTGCGTGGGTGGTGCGTGCGTGCGTGCGTGTGTGTATGATATTATGAAATACAGGTTAGTTGAGATGTGCGTGAAAAATATATTCATATATATGTGTGTTCGATATAAGGTCAACGGGGATATAATATAGGTAATCCATCACCATGATAATATTCGGTAACTGATACACATAGAAATCCCCGCGTACCTAAAACAACGCTCGCCGTGCTATAAACATTCAGGGATACACTATAATTATAATTATGAGTTACAATAAAAGCACCGGTGTAGACTACCAGTGCAAAACACCCCCTATATTTTGTGAAATACGCAAATATACAGTAAAACTACCTCGATTAAGGCCACACACAGAGACGAGAAAGAGCGAATTAAAGAACGAAAGAAAGAGAGAGAGAGAGAGGAGGAAGAAAAGTGAGAAGGAAGCGAAAGAAGCGTGAGAGGCGAGGAGAGAGAGAGAGAGAGAGAAGCGAGAGTGAGATGGAGGAAAAATGCGGCGTGGAAAGAAGAGAGAGAGAGGGAGGGGGAGAAACAGAAGAGGGTGGTGAAGGATGAGAGGGGAGGGGAGGGCTAGGAATTTGTGATAATACGCCATGGCCTTGCCCACCGTTGCCTTCGGTGCGCCTCATGTGTGAAACCAGTGTAGTCGCGCGCTAGCTGCGAGCAAGCCCAAACAGCGATGAACTAGAATATGTTCTTATCAGTGCCGACAGACGGCGAAAACGTTTGCGCGCACGTACGTACCGCCCCAGCGTCGATGCACACGCAAAAGCCACGGCTCGTATGTTGGTTTGTTTTGCCTGCGAGCCGCCTGTCAGACCCCTAGTGGGAAGCTCGAGTTTCTTATAACATTCCGGATTAGGGGGAGATGCGTGGACTCGCGCTACACGTGCTAATCCCGCTCATTGAGTGGCTAACGTGCCCCCACCACCACCCACCCCCTCACCCATCACCCCACCACCGGAAAGTTTAGCCGCTATTCGCCGTCGGTTTGCGCGCGCTCCTACAGTGTTCGTCCCTCTACGATTGAGGGATGATTATAATGTTGCGGCTTGTGTTACGTCCTGCCGACACGAGGTGGTGGCCGGGGCAGGCGATCGGCTCTCAGGCCCGCCACGTGTGCGGCCCAACTACATTCGCGCAGACGATACACGACGTCGAAGGAGAACGCGAAACACCGAGTTAGTTCCTCGTGAGTTAGTTCCTCGTGAGTTAGTTCCTCGTGAGTTAGTTCCTCGTGAGTTAGTTCCTCGTGAGTTAGTTCCTCGTGAGTTAGTTCCTCGTGAGTTAGTTCCTCGTGAGTTAGTTCCTCGTGAGTTAGTTCCTCGGTTTCACGAACGCAGAACACAAAGGCCGCGTGCGCGCGTGTTCGTCTTGGATTTTGATATGTGAGCGTGGCACGCACGTATACGAACGCTGCGCGTTTTCGTAGAGGAATTTTCTTTGTGTAGAGGAGCCATGAGGGGTGGGGCCAGAGAGGGAAGCATGGAGCTACTACTGCATCAATCAGATATTTTCTTCATCAAAACGATTGTCTTCAGTACATGTATTTGTATTCGAATTACATGCAATAAAGATAAAATAATAACAAAAATAATAACATGGATCATCGAGAAGATTTAGCTCCAGCCTATCAGCGAAAATTCAGTTGACGGGGATCCAACGATCCAAGAAAAAATGCAGTCGCTCCTCATCGGTAACGCTACACAGTCTCTCTCTCTCTCTCTCTCTCTCTCTCTCTCTCTCTCTCTCTCTCTCTCTCTCTCTCTCTCTCTCACACCGCACGCGCAACACAGCCGGACGATGGGACCCAGCGCGGCACCGGCGGGCGGGCCGGCGTCGCCGCCCCCCCGGGCCGCGCCCCCCCGCGCTGACCAGACGGCAAACGCGCGGCGCGCCAGAGCAGCACGCCTCCCCCCCGTCCCCGCCCTAGGGGCCGCGCCACGGCATGCCCGACCCACGAGGCCCCCGCAGGCACGCGGCCGCTCGGCACACATGGCCCACGCCGGGCCTCGCGGACCCGCGCGCGCCGTAGCCGGGGTCGATGGGGAGGGGGAGCGACGCGGCGGGACGTGCACACTCGCCGCGCGCGACCCGCAGCGCGCGCGGGGCGCCGGGCGCCGAGCGGGCCGCCGCGCGGGCCGCGCGCGGGGCCGGGCCCGCACGGCCCGCCGCCGCCGCCCCCAGCGCGCGCCCCGGTTGGGGGCCCCGGGCGGAGGCCGTCGCCGGGGCGGGGGCGC